TACCTTGAGACTTAGAGTGTAACATCTCGCAATTTGAAATAGCTAGGAAAAAGCTAAGAACTGGAAATAATGGTTTTTTGGAAATAGTGACAAATCTGGAAATTCGTTTAAGTTAGGAAAAGTGAGTTTTTGGTCAACTTCAAACGGCCATAACTCCTAACTCACGATGAGTTAGGTGTACTTCCAGATATGGTTGGGAAGCTCTTGGAATGATATTTCCAACGCCACTGAGTTTGCACAATTTCGAGTTCGTATGAGTAAGTTATGTCTTTTGGAAATTGGGCTGTTGGAATAAGGAAAGTCTAATCTGGATTTTGGAAGGGTAATTTAGTCTTTTCCTTGCCCTATTATTTTAATCCATTTTAGGAGTTTAATATGGGTCAAATCAGATTTTAGTCGGTTTTAGAAATTGGAAATTTACGCTAGGGCTTGGAGAAAGGAGAAGAAGAAACAAGATTCGTCGACTTCGTCAAGGATAGCTTGTGGATTTCGGCGGGGGTGATCCCTAAAAGGTATGTGAGATCACATAGCGTTGGGTTAGTTTGCCCACTTGCCAAACATGATTCAATTCAGCGAATTTAAGTCTTTAAAACTTTGGAAATTGAATTTCTTGTGGGTTATGTTGTTGGAGTTCTTGCGATTTGATTCACGTATCTGAGTGTAATTTCAGTTTGAATCTATCATATATTGAGGGTATAAATGATTCTAAGTGTTTGGGGAAAGAACCATTAGAGTTTTGAGGGTTTAGAGATGAAAAATGGAGAAGAAAAGTCGTCAAACACCTGGGTATAGGGGTGGGGCGTCGCGCCAGCCAATGCCCCCCAAAAGGCTCCCTGAATGTCCACTCTTGGGGCGCCGCGCTAGCCAGCGCGCCCCAGACCAGTCCCTGAATGTTGAGGGCTGGTGCCCCGCGCCTCTCAGAGTGCCAGGGACGCTAGTTCTCCACATTTGCTCCCCACCTTTTCGTACTTGTTCCTTAGCAATGTACCTATGTTTTCTAGTTTATTCCAACACTCTAAGGTACGTCTAAACATCATGAAATCATCCAATACATGAGATCATGAACCTTGAATCCATAATCCAATTCAACGAAAGTTAGGATCAAAGTCAAGAGAAGTTAAGAGTCGAGTCCAGAAATTAAAAAGCAAGCCAAAGCAAAGTTTATAAAGTTTTCAAAAGTCTTTAACAAATGTTTTAACCTTGTTTTAAGACTTAAGTTTCAAGTTAAGCAAAGAGTAAAAAGTTGAGTTCATTTCTCAAAAAGTTATAAGGGAACTAAGTATTCCCAAAGAGTTATAAATGTTTTCACATTTGAGGAAGAAAAGGGAACATCGATTCCAAGAGGGCTTTTAAGCTAAGTTTTGGGTAATTATCTCAAACCAAAGAAAGAAGTTGTTTTAAAAGATATGAGCTAAGTATATTTTTGGGAGTAGTATTGAGCACCGATATGGGGATGCGAGTTCATATTAACTCAAGTCTCCATAAACCATGTAGCCATCATGGGTATTAATGGGTCATACTTTTTAGATGATCGCATAAGTTAAGCTAGTGGATCCACTAAGTTAAGTAGGTTCTATATGACGTCAAAGTATAGGACCGTTCTGGCGGTGTGTCAAAAGACGTTGTATCACCACTTAGGCTCTGTCACGACCCGAGCCTACACCCTGGATGTGGCCGGCACTCGAGAACCATTGCTGGTCCCCAAGCGTACTCTCATCCTGGCTTACTACAAGCGGAAGACTAATTCAAGCATACAAAGCTTAAAAACTGAATAAAATCAATAACTCAAATACAAAGCTTTAACTCAAAAGAAAACTATGAATAAAAATAAGATATTCAACTCGCCATAAAATAGGTAACTTAAGTCTTTAAAACATTTAATAAAATAAATGAATAATACAGACTTCTCAACTATACTGACTATCTATGAAGCCTCTAACTGATAAAGATGGAAGTCAGGACAAGACCCACGACATCCTCACAAAATTGAAAAGTAAATGAAATCCTCCGGAAACAAGGAGGCTCACCATAGCTAACTCGAACTCCCGGATGTATCAACGAATCTCATGTTGATGATCGTGAATACATGTGTCTGCATCATGAGAAGATGCAGGCCAAATGGCTCAGTACGTGGAATGTACGAGGATGTAAGAGGAATTCTAAAGCATAACATAAGCTTGAAACTTGATAAAAAGGAAACATATTTACCTCTTCTCAAACTTACTCAACTCAAGGAATACTCAAGGATACTCAAAACTACTCAAACTTACTCAACTCAGAAGTACTCAAGGATAAGAAACTCAACTTCAAAGGTATGATACTCGACTTGAAATACTCAACTCTGGATACTCAACTCATGAATACTTAACTAAACTCATTTCATTATAAAGCAGTTTAAAAGAAGTGCAATATAAAGAAAAAGGAAAAATTGTTTAAAAATATGATGTCAACTCTGTGTGTATCCAAGGATACAACATAACTCTGAAATGTATGTAAAAATACAAATAACTGTGTATATAAGAATACAATAACTTATGTGGTAATTTCTCTAATAGACAACCATCACCTAAAAGGTATAGTGATGATACAACACTTTACCTCACGCTGCCAAGGACCATCCCATACCTTGTCATTAGTATAGGACCTTAACTTAACTTAGTTGATCCACTAGCTTAACTTACGTTATCATCTAAAAAGTATGACTCGTTAAATCCCATGTTGGCCACATGGTTCTTATGGAGATTTGAGTTAATATGAACTCGCGTCCCCAATTCGGTGCTTAATACTACTCCCAAAATATACTTTAGCTCATATGTGTTTTAAACACCTCTTTCTTTAGTTTGAGATAATTGCTCAAAGCTTAGCCCAAAAGCTCTCTTGGAATCGATGTTCCCTTTACTGAAAACTAGCCCAAAGGCTCTTCTGAAAATCATAGTTCCTTTCTTGCTCAAATGTGAAAAACATTTATAAACTTTTTTGGGAATACTTAGTTCCCTAATAACTTTTGAGAAGTGAACTCAACTCTCAACTCTTTACTCTTTACTTTACTCAAAACTTAAGTCTTAAAACAAAGTTAAAATGTTTGTAAAAGACTTCTTAAAATATGGTTCATGTCGAATGATGGACATGAACGACTTAATGCAAGGTTCTCAATAACCATAGATAGAACTCAAATACTTAGAACTCAAGAACTCTAACGATACTACTCATTTCAAGAATGCTCAACTTAGAGGGTTCATGCGGAATTATGAGCATGAACGACTCAACTCAAGGACTCAAAGATACTTCTCTTCTCAATATTGCTCGACTTATAGGATTCATGCGAAATTATGGGCATGAACAATTCAAATCAAAGACTTTATGGTTAATATGTAATAGTCCCATGCTTAGAAATATAATCTCAAAGGGGATTAGGAACTCAATACTCAAGACTTAGAACTTGAAGATACTACTCATATCAATGATACTCAATTTATGGAGTTCATGCGGAATTATGGGAATGAACGACTCGACTCAAAGGTCTACATAACTACATGGAACTCATGTATACGACTCTTCTCATTCTCTTGCTTACTTACTCAAAACTTAACTCAAATTGATGATGGATCTCAAAGGTTTCACAATTGAACTCAAAGGGACTCTCTTAGAATGTTCGAAAGAATTATCAAAACTTAACTCTTAGCTCTACCTTGAATTTTAATTATGAATTCAAGGTTATGATCATGTTATGAATGACTTCTAGATGTTTAGAATCGAAAAAGAGTGAAGGTGCACTTTAAACGAACTCAAACGAGGTAACCGACGACAAACTGGATGGGGCAGGCAACCCTGGCGCTATGGGTGGCGCGGGGCGCCAGCCCCTAAACTTCAGAGGAGGGTTTGGGGTGCTCAGGCTGGCGCATCGCGCCAGGCCCCCAACCCAGAAAATCTGACGAACTTCTTTGCTCGTTTTCTCACCCTAACTCGCCTAGAATCGAACGGTTTCTTCCCCAATCACTTAGAATCAATCACTTAACATAATTTCACTCTAATCTACTGAATACATCCCTTAAAATACTCACTTTGATCTCAAGAAATCATCAAAAACCCAACACAACAAGATTTAGAAAGAACTTCAAGAACTTAAATCCTTCAACTTTTTGAGAATGAAACTTCGTTGAAAATAATATGCTTGGCATGTGGGTGAACAAACCCAACACTATAAAGCTTACATATCTCTTAGGGATTAAACCCATGGGGAAAATCCGCAACAAAACGCAAGACTCTCGACGAACGCTTTGATCTTTTCCTCTTTTCTCCTCTTTTCTATTTTTTCTTCTTCTTAAACTCTCAACTAAAACCCTAGGCTAATTTTAGGATTATAAAACTGAACCTAATAGGATTATACCCTTAAACCCTTACTAAAAACGAATTAAATCTGATTAGGTAAGGAAAAGACCAAAATATCCCTCACTATTTTCGGTAAACTTTCCTTAACTGGACAACCTAACTTCAAAAGGCCATATCTCACTCATCCGACCTCGAAACTTAGCAAACTCAGCAGCGTTGGAAAGATAATTCAAAGTTATTTCCTATGGTAACTGGTAGAACACCTAACTCATCCTAAGCTAGGAGTTATGGTTTTGAAGTCAACCCAAAACTCATACTTAACTTAACTTGCAAAATTTCAGATTTTGCTATTTCCAATTTAATTCTTTTTGGAACTCAAGGTTCTACATATAGTGACATTAACACATAAGAAATTTTTAATTCCTTGGTAAAATCTCACTCACTACGAAGAACGGCTCGAGTCTTAATTCGAAATTTTTTCTAGGGTGTTACAGGCTCATAGTGGTGGTTGTCGGTTAAAGAAATTCCCACCTAAAGTATATTACTTTGTATATGAGTAATTTGAGTTTGTTATTGCATTTTATTTAATTAACTAAGTTGATTTTACTGTTTTATAAAGCTTTTCATATAATGCATGTGTTTCATTGCTTTATTCTGAGTTAAGTTTATTCATGAGTAGAGAAGAGCCAAGGTAAGTGTTTCTTCAGATTCCTTTCAAGCCTATATCTTGTTTTAGCATTCCAACTCGCATACTCGTACATTCAATGTACTGATGCCAGGTGGCCTGAATCTTCTTATGATGCAGATGCAGGTAATCAGCCTGAATCTTCTTATGATGCAGATGCAGGTAATCAGGATCAACATCCAGCGCCTCGTTGATCCAGCTTGAGCATTCAGAGTCTGTTGGTGAGCCTCATTGCATTCCGAAGGACTCATTTATTTGCTTTCTAGTCTTTCAGATGTTAGGATGATCGGGGGTCATATCCCGACATCCCTCTTTGTTTTAGAGGCTTCATAGACAGTTAGTAGTCAGACGTCTTTACATTATCATATTATATGTTAAGACTTGAGTTGCCATTTTGGCCAAGTTGAATGTTGACCATTAAACATTCTGAGTTATTTCACCAAAGTTATTTGAGTAAGTTCATTTGATCATAGCAAAATGTTTAGTCTTTCGTTGAGTCAGTAAGCTAGGCTAAGGATTCGCTTGGGGCCAACAATGGCCTTTGAGTGTCGGCCACGTCTAGGGTGTAGGCTCCGGGAGTGACAAACTCGGTATCAGAGCACAGAGTTCAAGAGTCCTAGGGAGTCTATGAAGTCATGTTTGTAGAGTCCTAGTTATCGGTGTGAAGCGCACCATATCTATAATTAGAAGGCGCAACACTTAGGAAATTATCTCACTTCTTTCACACTCTTTTTGTATGTTAGAGTTTGATCTCTAAAAAGTTTTTTCTAATTCATGCTTGCGCGTGTTTTCAGATAATCGTGCCTCCACGAAGAGCTGTCAGAGGTCATCCTGCGAGACACAATGTTGAACCACAAGAGCAAGAGTTACCCAATGCACCTGAAGTGCAACCTCAAGGAGAAGTCACCAATGTTGAGTTCCATGAGGCTATCCGGATGTTGAGCCAAGTTGTGACTAACCAGGTCGGGTAGCAAAGAGGAGCTCGACAAGAAGAGACTGACACTTCAAGGATTCGTGAGTTCTTGAGAATTAATCCTTCAAGTTTCACTGGTTCAAGCACTAATGAGGATCCAGAGAACTTCATTGAGGAACTGAAAAAGGTATTCAATGCGATGCATGTTGCTGATACTGGGAGAGTTGAGCTAGCTGCATATCAACTGAAGAATGTTGCTAGGACTTGGTTTGATCAGTGGAAAGAGGGTAGAACTGAGGATGCACCACCTGCGAGCTGGGCCTGTTTTGAGGAAGTTTTTTTGGGACGTTTCTTTCCCCGAGAATTGAAAGAGGCAAAGGTACGGGAATTTCTTACACTTAAGCAAGATTCTCTAAGTGTGCATGAGTATGGGTTGAAGTTCACCCAACTATCTCGTCATGTTTCGGAAATTGCTAAGGACATGAGGAGTAAAATGAGTTTGTTTGTTGTTGGGTTGACCCGTCTATCAAGCAAAAAGGGTAGGGCAGCGATGCTGATAAGTGACATAGACATATCAAGGTTGATGGTTTATGTGCAGCAGGTTGAGGAAGAGAAACTGAGGGACAGGGAAGAGTTCAGAAGTAAGAAAGTGAAGACAAGAAATGAGTCTGGGCAGCATAAAGGTAATGTGAACTGTTCGTCCTTTCAGCAAAAGCAAAAAGGACCTGCTCTATCATCTGCTAGTGTACCTGCACCCCGAAACAAAGGTGAGTATAATGGCCAGAACTCGCACAGCTTTAGAGCTAGACCTGCACAGTCTCAAGGTAGTGTGGCACAAGGAGGTAACTGGGCACCTGCATGTACTAAGTGTGGTAGGATCCACCTAGGTAAGTGTCGTGATGGCCAGATAGGTTGTTTCAAGTGTTGGCAAGAGGGTCACTTCCTGAAGGAGTGTCCTAAGAACATGCAAGGTAGTGGAAATCAAGTCAATAGAGCCCAATCTTCATCAGTTGCTCCACCAAACAGGGCTGCACCTAGAGGAGTTACTTTCGATACTGGCGGAGGAGCAAACCACCTCTATGCGATCACGAGTCGCCAAGAGTAAGAGAACTCTCCAGATGTTGTCACTGGTATGATCAAAGTCTTTACTTTTGATGTTTATACTTTGCTAGACCCGGGAGCAAGTTTATCTTTTGTAACCCCTTATGTTTCAAATATGTTTGATGTTCTTCCTGAGAAACTTTGTGAACCCTTTTGTGTTTCTACACCTGTAGGGGAGTCTATTCTAGTAGAAAGAGTCTATCGTGATTGTCCCATTTCTATCAATCACAAGAGCACCATGGCTAATTTAGTTGAGTTAGACATGGTGGATTTCGATGTCATTCTAGGTATGGACAGGCTACATGCCTGTTATGCATCAATAGATTGTAAAACTCGAATTGTCAAGTTTCAGATTCCTAACGAGCCAGTTATAGAGTGGAGTAGTAGTTCAACAGTGTCTAGAGGTCATTTCATTTCATACCTTAAGGCGAGAAAGTTAGTTTCAAAGGGTTGTATCTATCACTTAGTCCGAATTAATGACTCTAGTGTTAAGATATCTCCCATTCAGTCAGTTCTTATAGTAAGAGAGTTTCCAGAAGTCATTTCTGATGATATACTCGGAGTCCTTCTTGAGAGAGAAAAAGACTTCGGCATAGACATTATTCCATATACTCATCATATTTCTATTATGTCATATAGAATGGCACCAACAGAGTTGAATGAGTAGTTAAAAGATCTCCTAGATAAGGGTTTTATTCGACCAAGTGTCTCACCTTGGGGAGTCTTGTTTGTAAGAAAGAAAGATGGTTGCCTTAGGATGTGTATAGATTACCGCCAGTTGAACAAGGTTACCATCAAGAATAAGTATCCTCTTTCGAGGATTGATGATCTTTTCGATCAGCTTCAGGGTGCTTCCTGTTTCTCGAAAATTGACCTCAGATCAGGTTACCATCAATTGAAAGTAAGGGAATGTGACATTCCAAAGACAACATTCAGGACCCGTTATAGTCATTATGAGTTTATGGTCATGTCGTTCGGTTTAACTAATGCACCAGCAGCGTTCATGGACCTTATGAATAGAGTCTTCAAACCTTATTTAGATATGTTTGTTATCGTCTTCATTTATGACATACTAATCTATTCAAGGAATGAAAAGGATCATGGTAGCCATCTCAGAATAGTTCTTCAGACTTTGAAAGATAAGAAGTTGTATGCCAAGTTCTCTAAGTGTGACTTTTGGCTTGAGTCTGTGGCATTCTTAGGCCATATTGTGTTTGGAGAGGAAATTAAAGTTGATACTCAGAAAATTGAGGCAGTGCAGAATTGGCCTAGACCCACATCTCCAACTGATATTAGGAGTTTCTTGGGTTTAGCTGGCTATTATAAAAGGTTTGTAGAGGGGTTCTCATCTATTTCGTCTCCTTTGACCAAGTTGACTTAGAAGACAGTGAAATTTCAATGGTATGAAACTTGTGAGAAAATCTTTCAGGAATTGAAAAAGAGGTTGACTACTGCCCCAATTTTGACCTTATCAGATAGTTCTCAATGTTTTGTGGTGTATTGTGATGCATCTAGAGTTGGCTTGGGTTGTGTATTAATGCAGAATAGCAAAGTTATAGCTTATGCCTCCAAACAGTTGAAAGTTCATGAGAAGAATTATCCAACCCATCATCTAGAGTTGGCTGCTGTAGTTTTCGCTTTGAAGATATGGCACCATTATTTGTATGGTGTTCATGTGGATGTGTTCACCGATCACAAGAACCTTCAATATGTGTTCACTCAGAAAGAGCTTAATCTCAGACAGAGAAGGTGATTAAAGTTACTCAAGGACTACGACATGAGTATTCTTTACCACCCAGGTAAGGCTAATGTTGTTGCTGATTCCTTAAGTAGGTTGTCTATGGGTAGCACCACCTATGTTGAAGAAGGAAAGAGAGAGTTAGCAAAAGATGAGCACAGACTGGCACGCCTGGGAGTCAGACTTATGGATTCCACAGAAGGAGGAATAGTGGTGACGAATGGGGCTAAGTCATCATTAGTGTTAGAAGTAAAAGGCAAGCAAGACCAAGACCCTAATTTGCTTGAATTGAAGGAAAATGTTCATAAGCAAAAAGTATTAGCTTTTGAATAAGGGGGAGATAGTGTATTGAGATATTAAGGTAGGTTGTGTGTACCAATGGTGGATGGACTCCAAGAAAGGATCATGGAGGAAGCTCATAACTCCAAATATTCCATTCATCTGGGTTCCACCAAGGTGTATCATGATTTGAAAGAAGTGTATTGATGGAATAGCATGAAAAAGGGCATTGCAGAATTTGTTGTTAAGTGCCCAAACTGCCAACAAGTTAAAGTAGAGCACCAAGGGCCTGGTGGTTTGGCGCAGAATATAGAACTTCCGGAATAGAAGTGGGAGATGATTAATATGGATTTCATCAACGGCTTGCCAAGGCCTCGCAGACAGAATGATTATATTTGGGTGATTGTCGACAGAATGACAAAATCAGCCCATTTTCTGTCGGTAAAGACTACCCATTCAGCAGAAGATTATGCCAGGTTATATATTCAAGAGGTGGTAAGACTTTATGGAGTCCAGTCTCCATTATTTCAAATAGAGGTGCACAATTTACTGCACAGTTCTGGAAATCTTTCCAGAAAGGTTTTGGTTCGAAGGTGAACTTAAGTACTGCCTTTCATCCTCAGACAGATGGGAAAGCAGAGCGCACTATTTAGACATTAGAAGATATGTTGAGGGCCCGTGTGATCGATTTCAAAGGTAATTGGGATGATCACCTACCCCTTATTGAATTCTCTTACAACAATAGTTACCACTCTAGAATCCAAATGGCTCCATATGAAGCTCTTTATGAGAGAAGATGCAGATCTCCTATTGGATTGTTTGAAGTTGGTGAAGCAGGGTTGATAGAACCAGATTTAGTCCATCAAGGTATGGAGAAGGTTAAAGTGATTCAAGAGAGGTTGAAAATGGCATAGAGTCGTCAAAAATCCTACACTGATGTTAGGAGAAGGGCGTTAGAGTTCGAAGTAGATGATTGGGTATATCTAAAGGTTTCACCCATGAAAGGTGTTATGAGGTTTGGTAAGAAGGTGAAACTTAGTCCCTGGTATAGTGGGCCTTATCGAATATCCAAAAGGATGGGCAATGTAGCTTATGAGTTGGAGCTACCACAAGAGCTAGCAGCGGTTCATCCAGTGTTTCACATCTCCATGTTGAAGAAATGCATGGGTGACCCTTCATTGATCATACCAACTGAAAATATTGAGATCAAGGACAACTTATCGTATGAGGAGATTTCGGTTCAGATTCTAGATCGCCAATTTCGCAAGTTGAGGACTAAGGAAGTAGCATCAATCAAAGGCATTTGGAGGAACCAATTTGTTGAGGGAGCTACTTGGGAAGCTGAAGAGGATATGAAGAAAAGATATCCACATCTCTTTGAGTCCGGAGAAGATGCAGACCAAGGTACTAACTCTTCTTAGTACTCTTTAAATTATAAGTGAGCATGTTGTTTGTTTGTATTTGCTTGTTGGGTGTTTGAACTTGATGTTACACCCTGAGCCTAGTAAGAATAATCTCATTCGAGGATGAATGTTCCCAAGGTGGAGATATTGTAACATCTCGCAATTTGAAATAGCTAGGAAGAAGCTAAGAACTCGAAATAATCATTTTATGGAAATATTGACAAATCTGGAAATTTGTTTAAGTTAGGAAAAATGAGTTTTTGGTCAACTTCAAATGGCCGTAACTCCTAGATTAGGATGATTTAGATGTACTTCCAGATATTGTTGGAAACTCTTGGAATGATCTTTCCAACGCCGCCGAGTTTGCGCGATTCCGAGTTCGTATGAGTAAGTTAGGCCCTTTGGAAGTTGGGTTGTTGGAATAAACAAAAGTCTAATCCGGATTTAGGAAGGGTAATTTAGTCTTTTCCTTGCCCTATTATTTTAATCCTTTTTAGTATTTTAATATGGGTCAAATCAAAATTTAGTCAGTTTTAGAAATTGGAAATTTACGCTAGGGGTTGGAAAAAGAAGAAAAGAGAAGAAAGGAGAAGAAAAAGCAGGATTCGTCGATTTCGTCAAGGATAGCTTGTGGATTTCATCGGGGGTGATCCCTAAAAGGTATGTGAGGTCACATAGTGTTGGGTTAGTTCGCCCACGCGCCAAACATGATTCAATTCAGCGAATTTAGGTCTTTGAAATTTTGGAAATTGAAGTTCTTGATGAACATTGTTGAATTTCTTATGGGTTGTGTTGTTGGAGTTCTTGCGATTTGATTCACGTATCCGGGTGTAATTTCGATTTAAATCTATCATATATTAAGGGTATAAATGATTCTAAGTGTTTGGGGAAATAACCATTAAAGTTTAAAGGGTTTAGAGATGAAAAACAAAGAAGAAAAGTCGTCAAACACCTGGATATAGGGGTGGGGAGTCGTGCCAGCCAGCGCCCCCCAAAAGGGTCCCTGAATGTTCACCCTTGAGGCTCCGCGCCAGCTAGCGCCCCCCAGACCAGTCCCTGAATGTTGATGGTTGACACCCCGCGCCTCCAGAGCGCCAGGGACGCCAATTCTCCCCATTCGCTCCCCACCTTTTCGTACTTGTTCCTTTGCAATGTACCTATGTTTTCTAGTTGATTCCAACACTCTAAGGTACATCTAAACATCATGAAATCATCCAATACATGAGATCATGAACCTTGAATCCATAATCCAATTCAAGGAAAGTTAGGATCAAAGTCCAGAGAATTTAAGAGTCAAGTCTAGAAATTAAAAAGCAAGCCAAAGCAAAGTTTTTAAAGTTTTCAAAAGTCTTTAACAAACATTTTAAACTTGTTTTAAGACTTAAGTTTCAGTTTAAGCAAAGAGTAAAGAGTTGAGTTCATTTCTCAAAAAATTATAAGGGAACTAAGTATTCCCAAAGAGTTATAAATGTTTTCACATTTAAGCAAGAAAAGGGAACATCGATTCCAAGAGAACTTTTAAGCTAAGTTTTGAGTAATTATCTCAAACCAAAGAAAGAAGTTGTTTTAAAACATATGAGCTAA